ATGCTTACATGAAAGATGCAAAATGAGAAATAAACAATTCAAAAACGTATTTAATTACATATAAACCATCATTTATGGAATATACTGATTAAAAGAGCTTTATAGTTTAATGTTTTTAAGCAACTTTTACTGCTACCTGTTCGTATGGCTGATAATTCCTAGAGGAATAATGCTGATATGCGTTCCATGGGTAAGAAACGCCAAAACCGGAATGGATTGGTGCTCCTTGTTGGTGTTGGTATTGATACTGCCCTTGGTAGCCAGGGTAGAAGTTTTGGAAGACCGATGGGTATTGGGAACCTTGTTGATGACCGTAGTACTCTTGGTTTTGGTAGACGTATTCAACTTCTTGATAGAGGTTGTAGATTTGGTTGTACAATTGGATCACTTGGCTTTGGTATTGGGCAGGAACGTTTTCGTTGTTCTGAACGTAGTTTTGGAAAGTTGACTGGAGTTCTTGCACTTGGTTTAGGTATTTGATAACGGCCTGTACATATTGTTGCCATTGGTGTTGCGGGTAAACCTGTTGGTAGTGTTCGAGTTGTTGTTGGATGTGGTAGAGATGTTGTTCCATCTGGCCAAGTACCTGAAGGGCTTGGACGGGTACTGAAACGTATTGGTGACTCAATTGGCTGTAGGGGTACTGCTGTTGGTATCCTCCGAATGGGTACTGTTGCTGGTATCCTACAAATGGGTGCTGTTGCTGGAATGTTCCATATGGATATTGTTGTTGTTGGAAGGCTCCGTGTGGATATTGTTGTTGTTGGAAGGCTCCATGTGGATATTGTTGTTGATGATATCCCCCGAATGGATATTGTTGGTGATATCCAAATTTATACTTACTTTCCACAGGGTAGTTGTGGTAGCCGTGGCCGCTGACGGAAGGGTTGTAGTGGTGGGATCTTGGTTCTACAGAAGTAGCAAGAGCGGCGCAGGCAAACAGAGAGAAGAGAAGTATGGTCTTCATTGTAACAGTGGACTTTGGCTTGAATTACAATAGTGCTATACGTGTTATAAGCTCATTGTGGCGTCTTCAGTTTTTATATCCAGTATTATCAATGTTCTTTAATTAATTAGTAAATTATAGATAACCCCCTGTACGTTATTTGTTAATAGGGCAATTATTGAGGCGTTTGTTGTTTTTTTTTTTAGTTGATACGCGTTCACTAATTACTTGAAATAAACGTTATCGCAAAAAATATGTCGTGGAAATTTTATTTACGCTGAACTTTGAATAAGATTCGCAGATAGTTATTTTTATTGATTTCATTAAAAATACAAAATAGAATTGTGAGCAATATATTATAAAAAATGTTTCAAAAAAACGATTTCTAAAAGATATCTACTATCAGTAAAGCAGTGCTAAAGGTAAAAAGTAGTACAGTGGAATTCGTTTATTATGACTCCGCCTATATTGACCAACCGCTTAATATGAAGTACTTGCAGTGTTAAGTTTGGTTTTCATATTAAATTCTCTATAGAAAAATTTGGATACAATGACTCCGTTTAAAATGACATCGTTTAATAAGACTGATTCTTAAGAAATCATATCCGGCTATACTGACCCAAATGATTAATAATAACATTTTCGCTCATTTTTCTGACCCTTCCTACTCCTCCTGTAAAAATGACAAAATATGTTATGTATATTGATATTACAATTCATCGTTCTTCTAAATAACTAACCAAAATAGAAAGTTGTTTATTTTCTAAGACTATGTTTTGTATGACGCCTGCTTAGTATGAAGTGTTTGTCATTTCCCTTCGACGTCATTATAAGCGAATTCTACTGTATACGGCTTTCACTCAGAGTTGTGTTATTTCGTTTGTAGAAAATTGAATTTGAACTATTGGCTAGGTTAGAAAATCTCAAGCCTTATATGGATTCGGTAAAGCCGTGCTAGGAATGTAATTAACAACCTAATTACTTTATATTAATTAATCTCACTTCAGAAGAATTTTTCCGACTTGTACTAATACACTTAGCAGGTCTGTCATGATGCGATTTTAATTGTAAAGCTGAAAATTGTGCACAATATTATCTACAAATCCTAAATAAACAACAACATCGATAATAATTATCGATCATTCCTCATAAGTTGAGAAAGATAATTTTTTATCTTCATCATCATAGAGTCGTCAGTTCTGGGACTGGTTTGACACGCACCTCCATTTTTTTCTACCCTGAATTAATCTTCGTATTTTCCGGAAATTAGAACAACCCACATCCTTAACTGTTTGCGAACAGTAATCTAACCTAGGTCTACCTCTACTCCTCTTAACTCCTGTTTCTGCCTCTAATATGACTCTGACTACCCCTTTATGCCCGAAAAGGTATCCTACCAACTTATCTAGCCTACTTTTTATTGACTTCCATAGTGATTTCTATTGTCTTATTCCTTTCAATACCTTCTCATTTCTAACCTCTGTCCACGGTATCCTCATCATCCGCCTGTAACACCACATTTCGAAACCTTCCAACCCGTACAGGATCGTGCTCCAAACATATACTTACCTTCAACATTCAATTAACCATTTAAGAGCCCAGAAATGACTTTTTGTTAAAAGCGACTTTACCCTGCGCTATCCTTTGTTTTGTATCTCTACTGCTGCTTCCATCCTAAGGTACCTGACTACCTAGATACCAAAAATCAATGACTCATAGCGATTTTTTATAATGATTAAAACTTCTTGGAATATGTATCCTTTTTAGGGTTTTTCATGAAAAAGAACTCTGACCAGTTTTAGTATAATTTATTGTAGTTTTGTTTTTGGAAGAAATCAAGCATTAATATTAAAAAAAAGAGAAATTTATAAACTGTTGACCCGATACACAATAACTTATAGTTAGATAAAAACGGTGGGCTTTTAGTTGTAAGATTTTAAACCTTGTTTTTTAATTTGCAGGATATCCTTTGACGTTGCGAGGTCTATTATTTTCCACCTACTTCTGATTTTGGTAAGTTTTTATTATAGGTATATTATTATATATTTTGTATATTTTTTATTTCTTATACTTTCACCACGGATTGTTCTTAGTATTTTTGTCCTAATATTTTGTTGCATTTTTATTCGGTTTGCAGAAGATACTTGTGGAAAGTTTAAAGTAAGTTCGACCTTACTTTTTAGCGATTTATAAAATAAGAAAAGGGTTACTTCAACAGGTGTAAATAGAATCTGATTACTATGAAAACCATCCAGAAAATTTCATAAAATGATAGACACTTCTGCGATCTTTTCAAAAATCCATTAACCTATATCATTACATGCCAAAAATAATAGTTAAATGAAAGGAGAAAATGCATTATTAACTTACAGATGGAATAAATCATCATATTTATTATGTAATATTAATTTGAAATCATGTTTCGATTTTTGATCCACTACAAACTTCCTCAAATTAATAAGGAAAATATTTTTTCTTGTTGCTGTTGTCACACCCCCGCCGGGAATCGAACCCGGGACCTTTGACTTTACGCACCAATGTTCTGACCACTAAGCTTCCTCATTAATTTGAGGAAGTTTGTAGTGGATCAAAAATCGAAAAATGATTTCAAATTAATATTACCTATTAACATCAACCACTATTAGTAACTAACAATTTATAGGATTTCATCATATTTGTTAAATTATATTCATAACAATCACAGCGCTCTCTACGGTTATTAAATTTTCATTATATACATAGATTGGACTCCATATATGTACATAGTCTTCAAGATGTAGGAACTAGTTATGTACGTTTTTCTTGACTGTTACTCGTGAAGTAACTGTTTCCTTTGATTTTTTTGATGGGATTTTTATAATGCCTTGTAGTGTCATTTTTATTATTGATAGTATTATTTCTTCAAATGGTGTTATTACTTATTTTCAAATAGGATTATGCTGTACCGAATAGATCAATAAACCCTAATATCCTCTTCGAAGATATGACTCTAGTATTGCTTCTCATTGCCAAAAGAGTCTTCTATTTGAATTTCCAGAACCCTAATTTTTACGTAGATTAGATTAATGTTACAAAATTATTGAGATACCTTGCAATCGAAAGTAGCAACAGAAATAAATAATAAAATCATAATAGAAAACTCCATTAGGTTTGGATCTGATAGTAACTAGAGATATGGTCCTGTATAGGAGAAGATAATCTTTCCAACATTAGAAAGGTAATAAATAATCCTGTTGAATTGTTTTGTAAACTAAATAATTGAAATTTTAGTTTTGTCAATGTGCTTTTATTGTAAGTTGAAAACTAAACTTTTATACAGAAAAATGTTAAGAGAAAAGAAATGTTATTTTAAATGCATTAAATTACAATGAAAGGTAAATTATTCTATATTTCTAAAACGCTTCTACTGCTACCTGTTGGTATGGCTGATAGTTCCTTGAGGAATAACGCTGGTATGAGTTCCATGGGTAGGAATGGATTGGTGCTCCTTGTTGGTATTGGTATTGATATTGTCCTTGGTAGCCAGGGAAGAGCTTTTGGAAGACCGATGGGTATTGGGAACCTTGTTGATTACCGTAGTACACTTGGTTTTGATAGACGTATTCAACTTGTTGATAGAGGCTGTAGATCTGGTTGTACAATTGGATCACTTGGCTTTGGTATTGGGAAGGAACGCTTTCGTTGTTCTGAACGTAGTTTTGGAAAGTTGCCTGGAGTTCTTGCACTTGGTTTAGGTATTTGATAACGGCCTGTACATATTGTTGCCATTGGTATTGTGGGTATGCCTGTTGGTAGTGTTCCAGTTGTTGTTGGATGTAGTAGAGACGCTGTTCGACCTGAACGAGTACTTGAAGGGCTTGGACGGGTACTGAAAGGTACTGCTGACTCAATTGGCTGTAGGGGTACTGTTGTTGGTATCCTCCGAATGGGTACTGTTGTTGGTATCCTACGGATGAGTACTGTTGTTGGAATGGATACTGTTGTTGTGGGTAGCCTCCATATGGATACTGTTGTTGTTGGTGACCTCCATATGGGTACTGTTGCTGTTGGTGACCTCCATATGGGTACTGTTGCTGTTGGTAGCCTCCATATGGATACTGTTGCTGCTGGTATCCCCCGAATGGGTACTGTTGGTTGTGTCCATATCCGTAGCTACCAACTCCTACATGGTTTCCCCGGCTGCTGGAGGAATGGGAGTTGTGGACGTAAGGGGTCGTTTGCTCCACGGACGCAGCGAGGGCAGAGCAGGCCACTAAGGTCAAAAGGAATGCAGTCTTCATTGTAGTAGCAGTGGAAGTCTTCACTATGGTGCTTCAGTAGATTTTTACTGCTTTTATATTAAAAAATTATCGAGGATCATTAATTAATTAGTAAATTACCGATAACCCCCTGTACGCTATTTGTTAATGATGCAATTATCCACTCATTATTTTTTATTGGCTGATACGTATTATTTAGTTGTTTATAATATTGTCTTTGGAAACGGGTATTTAAGTATGTATAAGGCATTATTTTATTCTGCAGCTATCTTATCGCCGTTATTTACCATTAAAAGAATAACAACAAAGATGTTCTAAAGTAACTACAATTAATTGAAAAATGACAAGTATTTCGTTTTGAGTGATGACACTTTCCCTGATGTTGTACTTGTGATTGAAGCAATTTTGGCTTTTATGTAATTAAGCAGAAGTTAATAAGAAATAGGCGAGATAGGCTGGTAGGACAACTTCTATGTGTATTGGATCCATAGTTTATAAGTTTCATTTTTTTAAATATTATTGCTCGATTTCTTTTGAAAAAAAACGAACTACATTTACACGAAAACTGGTCAGAGTTCCTCTTTATAAAAAACCCAAAAAACTATGTATATAGCAAGCAATTTTAATCATCATCAAAAATCCCTGTCGGTCACTGATTTTCCGTATCTAGGTAGTCAGGTATTAACAAAACACAGCACTGTACGAAAATAAACAAAAATACTGGTATGCAAGGGAAGAAAAAGTACGGAAAGGGCGAATATAAAGCAGACGAAAAATTAGAAAAAGTGGCCGATTTTAGGTAGGTATCTAGGATGCCAGATAAGTCAGGACGGAAGGAGTAGTAGGGATATAAAGCAAAGGATAGCGCAGGGTCGTGTCGCCTTCAATAAAAAGAAGCCACTTCTATGCTCGCGAAAGGTTAATTTAGAAATTCGAGTAATATTTAGCATATGTGTTTTTTGGTGACGCTTAACACTTTAGATCGGTTTATGAGCCTCTCTGCTTACAAGCGTTTCTTTCTTTTTTGAGGAAAATTTTACATTTTGAGATATAATGAAGGAATTTTCCATTATGTATGCATTTTTAATTTAAAATAAGGCAACTGTAATTAACCTATTACTAGCAGTTTGATTTCATTATAATAGATACGTTTACTAGTCTTTTGGAGATGACATACATTAGGTACCTAGGGCAGAAAGTAGGCTATTTCTTCCTGAGTATGAATTGCCACCCATGCCGAAGGTTTGAGACTAACTTAAAAAAGGTCCACCTTTTTTGCGCCATATAAAATTTTCTTTGCTTAAACATCCCATTTTCTCCATAAAGATAAGGAAATTTCGGCCAATAAACTAGGGAATAAAAATGAATTCATGAGGGTCTTGCTGGCTAGCTCCTTGTTGTCATATAATGCGATAAGGAACATGGTTCCAAAAATTAAATCATTATTTCTTTTTTAGAAATGAAGAGGTATTAGAAAGAATAGGAGAACAGAGGACTCTATGGAAGTTAAGAAGAAATAGGCGAGATAGGTTAGTAGGAACCTTCTCAGGCATAAAGGTCTAGTCAGAGAGACAGAAACGGGAGTTAGGAGGGATAGAGATAGATCTCGATTAGATTACTTTTAGTTAAGGTTGGGGGTTGTTCTAGTTTTAGGGAAATGCGAAGTTTAGCTCAGGAGAGGAGAGAGTGGAGGTACATGTCCAACCAGTCTCAGAACTGACGACCTTATGATGATGATTTCTTTTTAGTTGTATGAAACTAGGTTTTACCCAGCCCAAGGCTTCGCTGGCGGTAATGTCCTAAACACGTGGCAAAAATCGTTGACAACCACATAAACTTAATGTTTCTAACCCTCGGGAACAGTACCCTTTTTTAATAAGGTATATTCTATGTCCTTTACTGTACCCTTGGCAATATGTATGCAGAATTTCATGATGATCGGTTGAGTATTTAAAGCGTGAAATCGTAACGAACAAACAAATTCACATTCGCATCGATTATGACTTGACAAACTTCGTTTGGGTGCTTCTTTCATGCAGCCGTCATGAAGCAATCAATTTTTTTTTCGCGAATTCTGTGGGATTACTCAATTTCCGTCAATTTCGGGTAACCCCACAAAATCCTTGAAGCTAATTTTCAAAGTTCAAGACTCAAGTCATATTGCTGGATCTTTTACTTTAATCTTTAGCTTAATGTTCTTTAACATTCTGAAATAGAATTTGCTGAAGTTGTTTCTAAATTTGTTCTTATTTCTTTTAGGCTAATATCTTCTCATTTATTATAATTTAATCTCAATGTCGTTATCTAATGTGATTGGTTAACTTTGCAGACCTTCTGTTCTTTGAAAGGTCGGTTATTTTGTGATTGTGCTTGACGTATTGATACAAGATAAAAATATTTTATTATTAATTTTTTTCTAAATGAGGTAAAAAGTATTTACGGTTCGCTAAATATTATGACTTCAAGCACAATTTAAACGCTCGTAATCGCTAAAGAAAACGACTTAATTAATGCGATTGTGATGATATTTAATAATTAGGGAACATAGTAACCGTTTAATGAATAATAATATGTGATCAGTAAAAGTATACATAAAATACTACGTGTTGATTTTTTTTGTTTTATTCACGATAACCCCATGTTGGGCTTTTGGAAAGTGACATGAAGGCGTGGCTTAATTAACATGGCTGACTTTAGGTTGCAAATTTAAAATAATTAATTCCTTCTTTCATTCTTAGCAGCTAACTTCACGATGTCTTGCATAGAAGAGCTTATATCAAATATGTAGTATCAAATGCATATGAAGCGTTTAGAATTAGGCATGTGTATTTTCTTTTATAATATTCTATTTGTTTAAAAGGTTTGTGAAAATTGAATTCAAAAATTCTATAACCATTTTGAGTTAATCTCGTAAAATTTTGTAATTTTACCTTAAACACTTAAAAACTATTTTCTATAAAACATATTTATATCAAAGCTTACTGCTTTGGATTCACAGTTATCAATTTTTTCTGGAAGGCTTCGCTTTCGCTGTTGTCTGAAAATCGTGTTTTGGATTAAATTTAACTTTTCTAGTAAACATTTTGACACTTTCTATTAAGTTTAGAATTCCATTTTCCTGTTGCTTTATTGAAATTAGGGATTTTCTGGTTCTATTACCAATGTCGCTTATAGTAACCGTCTTATTTTGGGGTATTTGGTTCGAAATATTGACCAGAAGTCCAATTTATTGATGATACTGTAATCTGGAGTTTAGTGAATATCGAACTAAGCATCGATATTGTTTCTATGGTCCCTATGCCTTTTTGTAATCTTATTTTTCTCAAGCAGTTTTACCTACAGGCGTTTTTACACGAAATTATNAAATGTATAGTAATCAATGATTAAAATTGAAACGAATTGTTTGTGAATAGGTATGCAACACATAGTACACTTCAGCATATGAAATTGCTGATACTAACTACATAATACTACTTTGCCCTGTGCTGACAGCACTCGTAATTTCTTTTATATATACTATTAGTAAATTCAGTTCCACCCTGGTGGTTAGTAGTGCTGAAGATTGCGCTAGTTTCAGATTAACTAAAGTTTCAATTACATCACTAGGCATGGCCTAGAGGTTAAGGCCTTTACTTAACATTCGGAAGAACATCAGTCCGATTCTGGGTCCGTCCATCCTGGTCCAAGTTCTTCTATGGTTTCCTTGAATCACTTAGACAAATGATCGGACAGTTATAATATTCCACAGATAACCATTCATTCTCTTTTATCTTTATTTCGTTCGCCCATCTCACCTTTACTACCCCAACCATCACCCTAGGGCCTACCCTCTAGTGCGATCGATCGCCTTCAGCATTAGCAGCTAATGGGAATGAAACTCCTAAAAGTTTTACAATACCAGAAAATATTGCAATTCGCTATTTATTTATTATAATTCTCTAGTTTTTGATAAATATTCGAGAAAATGAATTTTATGAATCAAGTTCTATTTTTAGAGTTTTGAATATTTTTGAACCATCTTCAAAATATTTTAATTAAAGAATGAAGAACATTCTTAATACAGTACAATAAAAAAAAAACATTGTGAAAATGGGTCACTTTAGCATACAAAGGTAAATGTATACTTTTATAGAAACTTTTAAATCAATAGAAAAATGCAGTTAATAAAAGATTCAAAATTTTCATTGAAAATAAGGAGATTACTTTCCTTCAACTGCAGCATATCTAACTTCAAGATCTTTAACCTAATTGGTTGATTTTAACATCAAACTTTATGTATATTAGTTTTTCAGGAGGTTAAGATTGTTTTCGTTTTATGTTATAAATTAATTGTAATTGTAATTCCACGACGAATTGTTTAACAAAACTGATAATAAAAGAACTGCGTATTTAAAATAATTTAACCGTAATTATATAAACATTTAAACTTATAGGAGTATTCATTTATTAAAAAGTCAACAACATTGATAAAAATTCTGCTAATCTTGTACAACACATTTGAAATAAAATAACGAACAGGTTCAATTTAATCAAATATTCAATAGGAGCACCAAATATACAGATAGTAAAAGTAAATATAGCTTAAGTTTACTTAAACATAAGAAAAAAAGTGATAAATCGGCCAGGAATCGAACCCGGACCTCCCGCATGACACAATTATTAATAATTTTATTCAAAGCATCCTTTAGAAAAATTAATTTTATTCTTTTGACTTCACAGTAGGTCCTCTTTAACTCTACACATCGTCGTCACAGCTTTTTCCATCCCTGTAAACAGAGTGAAAGAGAAAGAAGAGAGAGGAAAATTATATTTGATAAGAAAAATAATGTGAATCATTTTGGGTATGATATTGACTCTCTAATTGCCACATTACAAACCAGGGGGAAAGGTTCCTTAAATTTATTTTTAAATAATTAAGGTCTTCATTGTAACAGTGGACTTTGGCTTGAATTACAATAGTGCTATACGTGTTATAAGCTCATTGTGGCGTCTTCAGTTTTTATATCCAGTATTATCAATGTTCTTTAATTAATTAGTAAATTATAGATAACCCCCTGTAC